ATCTGGATTATGCAATGGATGACTGAGAATCTCTACAGAGTTTTGGCTATAAAATTTAGGATGAACACCCTTTGAATGGTGTGGGAATAGGAATGGATTTCCAGAGAAAACATTGCAGACTGCAGGAACCAGGAGCACTATTAGGTGACCCTGAGGACACAAATAAACTTCCAAGTGCTTCAACAACCCTCTAAAAGGACGCAAATGACCAGTTGTCTGCAAAGAATATAAATCCTTCCATTTCCCACTATCCTGTCAGAGCTGAAAAAATGTCTTGGACGAGAAGCAAATGTCTTCAAAGAAAAAAACAAGAAAGTCCAGTTGCCTCCTGAAAAAAGCATCTTTAGGACAACCATGAACTGGATGACTGATAATCTCTACAGACTTTAATTTTAATATTATAGTTTTGTTTTGCTTTTGATCTACTGCATTCTTTCAACAAGTTCTACTGAACTACTTCACTACCTCAAGCTTTTCCTCCCTTCTTTGCTTCACACCTTCATCTCCAGCAACTGCCACTTCAAGGATAATTTGAACCACATTTTCATTTGAAAAAAGACAAAAATATCAATTAAGGCACAAAGCTAACAACACACAAATTAGTCTGATAATGCTGCATTTTCTTGCCTATCCCCAACTCATATTTTTTTCTCCAGCATACATGAGACAGCAAAAACTGCCTTAAAAACAAAAATAGTTTTTTTTAACACTACTCAGAATTGAAGATTTTGATTCTGGTTGCTTTCAACAAATTATAATACCGGGTGTAAACTAAACCAGAATTCCAGTTCTAATATGATACTCTGGCTAGTTTAAATCAGGAAGCATTTTTTCAGTCTTCTCCTTGCAGTTGTTTTAGAGATTGAGTTCATGAACCAAGGAATATTGCTGTTGTTCAGTCAACACAAAATCTTTTTGAGCAACTCTGGAGCAAATAATTGTACAAAACAATTTAACATTCTAAGCCCTGAGCCATGGACCAGCTACAATCCACAGCCTGCAAGGAACTGGGCAATGCAAGTGAAGCCCCATCCACAGATCCCCAGGTTTTAGGCAATGTGCGAAACCATGAACCTGATCCATGAAAAAACCATCCTCCAGAGAACTGATCCCTGGCACCCAAATGATTTGTGGGGCACTGTTCTAAAATATTAAGTGAAACGGTATGAAAAGCAATATAGAGTTCAGCATACTATTACTCTACCAGCATCATTTGGTTAATAATAAATGTGATAAAATGTCATATCACACTCCCTCTTCAAATGTTTCACCTGTCTGCTCCTTTTTCATAATCTTCCTTTATGCTCATAGCAATAAATAAGATAGCTTCCATCTGATATGGTTTCAGATTAAAACTGGACATGAATAAAACTGGTAACATAAACAGACAAAAAGGATAGAAAAGAATGGTAAACTATAAAAATGAATAATTACTTATAATATCTCAGCTGATTTTTTAACTCTTGATTAAGGACCATCAAGTTGTTGACTCTAGCACCCACATCTCTAGATGTTCTTCATGAAGATCATCCACTCTGCTGCTAATTGTCCTCTTCTTTCTTTCTTCGTCTCCCACTATTTTCTCCATAGTCCTAAATATTTGTATAATGTGTCCAAAGTATGGTAATTTGAGCCTGATCATTTGTGCCTTGTATGAGAACTTCAAATTGATCTGTTCAATGACACATTGATTTGTTTTCTTAGTTATCCATCATAGTATTTTCATGAGTCTTCTCCAATACAAGGTTCAAAAAGAGTAATACTCTATCTATCCTTCTTCTTTAAAATCTAATTTTTGTTTCTACTTTTTTTATCTTACTTTCTGAATTATAGTTTTTGAGTTGAGTCAGTGCAGTAAAAGATTATCAATTCTGAAGCTTCAACTTAAATTTAGAAGGTTATTTATAAACTAAGGAAAACTATGTACTAGCTTCGTAGTAATATACTGGTTCACAATGAAATATTACATTTATTTTATTTTAAAGTTACACACATACATACACACATTAACAAGAGCAGAAAGTATTTTTCTATTTTATAAGAACTAACCAATTTGTATAAAGAATTTGCTTATCAAAATAAGAAATTATTTTGTTACAGTTAACATTGACTGAAATAGTTTTGATTGTGGGGATGTAGTTTAAATTCAACATTGAACACATTTAAGGTATACTAACAAATGGCATCTTGTCCTTATGGGAGTAATGGGGCTCTTCAGAAAACTGAAGCAGTTATTGCAATGACTCTGCTGACTTATTCTCTACTTCCCCACATCAGCTTAAATAAGGCAGCTAGATGCAGAATTCAACTACCAAGGACACAGCAGCAAACAGCATTCACATGCTTACATTTGCAGAGCTTCATATGGTTATGGTTATTATGTGAAGGCAGCTGATATATCAGTGTAGTTGGTGTTCTCAAATCAAGAAAGTTTTTATTCAGAGGTGTTTACTTTTAAATTATCAATATATAATATTATGGAAATATAGTTAGCTATACTTGTAATCTTTTGAAAAGAAGAATAACATAGCTATTATCTTTCGCTTGCTAAACATTTATGAATCTGTGGTATAAAAGAAAATGAAACATGTTTTTCTTACCATTTTTACTGATGTCAAGTTCTTTGAGATTAACTAAACTGGCAATGCTGGTTGGCAGGCTTGAAAGGTCATTATCTGGGATACTCAGTTTACGTAAAGCTTGACAGTTGAATAATTGCTAAAAAAAAGCAAGAGAAAAACAGTTATAAAATTTCTCATAAAATTTTAGTATGTTTAAATGTTTAGAGAAATTCTGTAAGAGAGCCTAAAGTAGAATATATACAATATAATAGCTAGTAAGAATCAGTAGATACATTAGATTTTCCTCTTTTAATTGTGTTTCTATTTCATAGCCATGGCGAGAGAATATTAGCTTTTACATAAAAACAGTAAGAAAATATGTAACAAGCAAAGAGAGATTAATGAGGTTTTTCTGTTAACAAAGTTTCCTCACAAGTGTGCAAATAAAATAAGAAGAGGGACACCTGGTCATCAGGAGATGATCACCTTAACTTATAATTTTAGAAAGAGAAATAACACCACTATTTAAAATTAAATCATTTTATTTAACTATGAATTAAAGCAGAAGCAGAATCCTGCTGCTGTAGGATTTGCTATGTGTGGCAGGTGTGTCTGAGTCAGTTCTGACTCCAGGTGACCGCCTAGACAAATCCCTGCTGTTTTCTTGCCTACATTTTCAGAAGTAGTTTGTCCTTCATTCTAGAGCTAAGGAAGAATGACTGGCCTATGTCACCTGGCTGGTTTTGTGCTTATAGCAAGACTAGAATTCATAGCCTCCCGATTTCTAGTCCAGTGCCTTTCACCTTTACATCAAACTGGTGCTCACAGTAGAATTAATGAAAGTTATTATTATTCTTAGAGGGTAAACATCTAACCTATGGGAAATTAAAATTTATAGCATTTATGTTGAATAAACTGCAAATGAAGATATTTGAAATATCTACTCTTTAGATTTGCATTTGAATAACTGCCTTTGGTATATTTCATGAAGTGACCTATCTGTTCAAAATGTATTTCTTTAGAAGTCTGAGAGCAACTGAATAAAAGCAACCCTTTGCCACAAGTAAATGCAGCAGCTTAGTGCAAACGAATTTCCATTACGAAAATGGTTTTCTTGGGAATAATGTTTTCATCCACCTTTTATTGTGAAATAAATAATAATATAGCAAAGGAGAGAAATGTTATGAAATTACTTGTAACAGCCTTTTTGTTATATACATTTTCTCAGGAAATCTTATTTGTCCAAAAATGATAATGATCTGGAACATTTAAGTTGACATTACTGATATGTAATATGTACCCTTGCTTAAGTCGTTTCTCTCAGTTACACTGAGAAGAAAACAAACAACAATAGCAGAAAGTTGTAACAGAAGTGTTGCATCATGCTCAGAAAATTGCACAGATGATCCATTCAAGTCACCAGGAATTAAACTCAACTTGAAAACAACTTCAGTCTGTTTATTATTTTTAGACAGAATGTCTACACTGCCAATATTACTGTTAGCATAAAAGTACAGTGAAATATTCTCAGTATATTGTATAATTCTCAACTCTGAAAGGCATCTCAAAAGTTCCATAGTTGGAAAAGATTGGTATTTGAGCATGTTTGAAAGGAGCTATATGGCAATTAATGAATTAGTCTTGAAAAATATAAATTGTCATTATAGCCTTGTTAGTGTAATTCATGATCTTAAAAAATGCCAAGAAATCTTTGGACTTCAGCACTGCCTGCCCAATTAAAATATGTTATGTTAGGCTTATTTGGTGTATTGTGCCTCAATGGCTTTAAACTAAGCAGTTCAATAAAAACGTGGTTTTAAAAATGTTTTTATATGCATGGAGCTATAGGCTTGAGTTCTAGAGAAAAATGGGAAGGATTTTTTTTTTTATTTAAGGTCAGCACTTGCTGATGAGGAACAAAACTTATCTACACATTAGTTAAAATTGAAAGATTTTTATTGATTTATTTATTTGCATACTGCCTTTTATTTTTATAAATAACACAAGGCAGAAAACATACCTCCCACACATTTCTCCTATTTTTCCCACAACTACTACCATGTAAGGTAAGCTGAACTGGGCTGAGAGAGTGTGACTGGCCCAAGATCACCCAACTAGCTTTCATGACTAAAGCAGGGTGAGAACTTGGTCCCTCGCTTTCTAGCCTGATGCCTTCAACCACTAGACCAAACAGGCCATCATATTAAGCAAGGATGACCCTCTCCTCTAAAGGGGAAGTGACAGGAAGGACTGATATTGACACTTTGAATAACTTAAAAAGACTTTTCTATAGGCTTGGGATAGTCTATATAAATATTTTACTCTTGAACTGTAAGGTCTAGTTCTGGCTGATTCCTGCAACATTCTTTGTCAACTATCTTATTCCTCCCAATATTGTCTGCTTGACTTTTCACAAGAAGTATTTGAATTCCTGTGGCTTCCATAGGCTATATTTAGGGTTTCCCAAAATGTGAGGTGTAGCTCCTTTGACAAGTGCAAACAGAGTGGGGGAGGGCGTGAAGAAACTTTTTGTTACATTGTTATAATGTATCTACCTTTCCCAAAGTTTTATAGTATTGTTTATTATTCTCATTTTCATTTTTGTTCCTGTTGATGTTTCTATTTTTAGGGGAAGGATGTACATTAAGACTAAAGAGAAGTATGATAGCATAAAAAGGAACTGCTGGGAAACCAAGTTTCTGACTTTCTTTGGATTATCTCATTGGATGCAGGAAATGAATGATTAAAAAAAACTTATTTTCCACTGTCCACCAATGAAGCTGTGAGCAATTAATTTTTATAACTGCAGCAGATGTACATTGACTTGGGGAAAAATAAATGGAAATGGCAGCAATTGAAGCCCTCGGGTATACTACTGTAAGTGATGAAATACATATGGCTTTTCAAATGCCTCCTATATCCATAGTTATTGTGTTACTGTGGGTATAGCTCATGCTTAAATTCTAAACAGACAATAGTCCTCAAAGAGCAATTGCATTTGGAATCAATGCCAATGAAACACACAGATGTAATAGAGTCAGGTGGATTCAGTTAGGAACAAACGGTATGTATCAATGCAACAAACTGTATAGTACAGACTATCATAAAGTCTCAAATGTATGTTTTGACATAAGATAGATCTAGTGAACCAAAGGATCTTACTCTGTCCAACAGCAAAGATCGTGAAGAGAAAAATGGATTACATTCTGTCAGCACTCCTTGTTATTTTTGAGCACCGGCAGGGCATTATTCACTACTACTTGCTACTCCTACTCTTATTACCACTGTTCCTGCTATTGAGATAAAGTGAGTTCATTTTCATTGTATTTGATCATATGGCAAATACCAGAAATAAAAGAACACTACTGACTTTTAAAGTAATAGTTTAGTAGTAGTAAAATTTGATATACGCTTCCTGTTCTATAGTTAGAGAAATATAAATTCCAGATTATTATACATCAGGAAGATAAACAGTTCTTTCCCCTCATAAATAGAAAATTAACTAAAATGAAGATTCCCACTGCTGCCAACAGAGAATTAAACTAACATCTGTCTTCCTTGAAACTGAATCCTAATGGACCTGCTCATTCTTGACTTGTAAATTTCACAAAGTCAACAATTTTGGTAACCCGCCACCACAACAAGTATTACTGAAGAGGGGTTAAAAGCAACAGAAAAAAATAGTTCCAAGATCATGTTATAAGAATTGTTATGCCAGATGCTACTAAATGTAAATCGAAGGGGATGTTGTATTTATATCCTTAGAAGACTTCTATTATCATAGCCCTTCACACTGAACATGGACTTTCATGTGAATTTAACCATTTGATAGCAAAATGATGCACTAGATGCAATGGTAGTTTTATATCACCTATAATTGGAATTTTCTCCTAAATGCTGTTACGTTGCCTTATTGTGGAGAAGAGCACAGGAGTGGATCCAGAAGGGAAGACTAAAGAATGCCAGGCGTAGACTCTAAGAATGTATATTCCAAAATATGAAAATTAGCCCAGCTTTTAAGCTAAATTAAGAATTTATCTATATATAGCTGCAGCAATATAGGAAGATGGTGGAGGAGAGTGATAATTTTAGTGACAATGTCAAAAGTATAACATTAAATATTAAAAATTATGTACTAGTTTTAAGTTACAATCTATATTTTGTTGAATATATAATGCTTTATGCTATATTTTAAGCCCAAAACAGTTTTTAAATCTTGATATATAACTACATATCAATGCACATGATGTTAAAAAGAGAAAATATACCCGAATCATACATCAGAAACTGACGTCCATCACACTTTTATGAGACACAAAATTATGATTTTGTATCCAGAGCCTTCTCTATAAACAAATATGTACAGCTAGGAAATGACATGGTTATGTATATGACTTTTCTATCAACCCCTGGAGAATATAATTAAATTGTTCCAGTTGTTCAACGGAGTGAAAACGTCATTGCAGCAAGCAATGAACTGGGCTATAAGGATAGAAAAAGATCTAAGCAATGCCTCAGTTTAGTCTTGGATGGGATGCAGAGATGGTATCCAGCAGGTTCTGATCAGTCCTGGAGAACCAGTAACGGAAATTTTGAGTAGTTTGGAGAACTGGCAAATACCACCTCTGACTGGCCCCACCCCATCTATTCTCTGCCTCCCAAGTCCCAGCTGATCGGCTGGGTCTTCTTGTGTTGCCCTGCATAGGAGAACGAAGCTGGAAAGCAGATTAGTGGGGTGGGGTGGGAATGGGATTTTGCAGTAACCTTCCCCCAGGAGTGGGGAGGAAATGGGGATTTTACAGTATCCTTCCCCTGGAATGGGGTGGGAATGGAGACTTTACAGTATCCTTCCTCTGCCATGGCCACCAAGCCACGCCACGCCCATCAAGCCACACCCAGAACCAGTAGTAAAAATTTTTTGAATCCCACCACTGCTTGGATAGATATTTCTAATACTATGAAGTTAAACAAATTTAAGTTCTACAGAATAATAGGAGAGTTTTAAGCACAAGTTTAATTTTATTGTTGAAATTAATGGAGTTAATAATTAAGGTAATGAGTTATTAATATAGCCTTATTTACACAGAAAGACACATCAAGATCTGTAAAACTTTATAGTAAGTAAATATGCATTGTTTTGAATATGTATAATCCAAGCTGGCCATTCTGTGCATAAAGAATATTTCATGAATGGATAATTAATAATACAAATGGTAAATGTCTTGATAAAAATAAATAAATCCAAAATAAAATAAATCCGCATTACACAAAATACATGTATGCATGTATGTGCTGATACTGTTTACTTTTTTATTTATGACTGAAAAGATTAAGATTTTATCTATCTATCTGCCTGTCTGCCTGTCTGTCTGTCTGTCTATCAAACAATTTGTATAGCCATCCATCTCAACAAGGTGACTGGGGAACAGCCAAAATTAAAATAAAATAAAAACTACTGCAACAATATAAAATTTAAAATACATAACAGTCAACAAAATATTATATCTCTATTATATACCACCTGGAAATGGGTCCCTGGACACAGTAAAGGCCCTAAATCCATGTTCCTCCCCATTTTTTTTCATTATTTAGATTCTTTTAATTAAAAAAATAAATGGGGTGCTGGCATGACCTAATCTTTGCTTTCAAAACTACCCAGCACATTCCTGGAACCAGTAGATAAGGCCTGCAAAAATTCTAAATTTCCTCCATAACCACACATACACACACACACACACACACACACACACTCACACACACACACACACACACACAGAGAGAGAGAGAGAGTTTTGGGCCTTTGTAACATCTCTATTCTTCTGGGGATGTTTCAGTATTATGAATTAATGGAGAAATTTGAGTCAATGCACTTGCAGGCAAAAAATCCAGTTTTATCTTATTATGTAATCTTTTTATATCTGCAAGCAAAGCCAACGGAAGGATCTTTTCTAAAGACTAGAAAATGGGTGTTATTAGATGCCACAATGAATTTTGCCTATGCCAAATATTCTTTCCATAGAGCGTGCTTCAAAAGTTCACTTAGCTAGACAGCTGCATTTACATATTATAGAAAGAAAGCATTTACCTTAGGAAGTTCTTCAATTTGATTGGCATCCAGATAAAGTTCCTCTAATGTCCGTTCAAAGTTAAAAACCTCCTTTGGCACTTGCTGAAGGCTGCAGTGGGAGTAATCAAGCACTGAGACGATTTCTTCTTCCCCTCGAAAACATCGGCATGGCACCAGGCGGCCAATAATTTTCCTTTTAGTTGTCATCTCCAAATACCGCACTAAAAATAAAATAATAATAAACTAAGTTATTTTCCAACATCACTGCTCATTTGAGTAGAAAAGTAATTAACCAAATGTCCAAGATCATTTCAGAAGAGAAACAAATTCTAGAAAATAGCAGCCCATTTCTTTTAACACAGAAAACCAGTTTCAATTTACTAAAAACTTTTTGTTCATTGCTTCTAACTTGGTGATGGTTTTTGTATATAGCTCATAAACTAATGTAGAAGAATCCAGGCAAACACCCGCAGAACCTGTGAATATATAGTTTTTTAGTTTCCTTAAGTACTGTTACTTATATTTAGAATCAGAAAGCCAAGTATTTCCATTTTTCTTTTTTTCTATTTAATCTACACTCAGAAATATGAGTGGAAATTCCAAAACCAATTGAGAAAGAAATTTTTTAAAAGATGTATGTTGAAATTGTAACAAATAAACCAGGGAAAGACTGTTTCCATAATTTACAGATGATTATAATTTGAACCTGAATCAATTCTTTATTTTACTTTCACTACTTTACAAGACAACAATATTTTAATTTAATTAAATGATTAAAATATTTTATATCAAGGAGTGCAACTGTTATAAAAAAGTAATCAAATACATCATCCAGAGTAATCAAAATAATCAAATACATCATCCAGAGGTGTTCATATGTCCCTGCTTTTATCAAAACAATGAAAATAGTATGATTCTATCAGCTTTGCCGTTTTTGTACATATGCTAGTGACTATCAATGAGGAAACCCCTACAAGGAAACAAAATGGCATCTGTTATCTAGATATGGAGAAAGAAATTTGAAAGAGGTCCAAAGATGCCTATAGACTAGGGAACAGTAGAGAAATCTCAGTGGGCACCAAAGTACATGAATGGGTGCAAAACTCAAGAAAAAAATGAACATATTATAAATACAAGGAGGCGGGCAAAAAACTATGGAAATGCTATACTTTTATTCAGGTTTGCATTGTTCTCCCTGACAATAAAATTGTTTATAAAAATAATTTAATTTGAAGAACTGTAATGCCATTATAGATCTTACAGAGAATGACTGAACTGATCTAATAGCAATAGCACTTAGTACTTAGGCTTGTATATAGCTTCATAGTGCTTTACAGCCCACTCTAACTGGTTTACAGAGTTAGCATAGTTCCCCTAATAATCTGAAATGATCCTCATTTTACAGATCTTGGAAAGATGGAAGGCTGAGTCAACTTGGAGCCGGTCTGGCAGTCAGCAGAATTAGCCTGCAATACTATGCTCTAACCACTGTGCCACCTTGTCATTTCAGAATATCTAACCTGTCATTTTAAAAAAGTTATTCACAACAATGTGGATATTGTTGTAAAAAATAGCTAGAAGATTCTTTAATAAGAACATTCTTATTCTGAAAAGTAACCAAATTTTAGAAAAAAATATTATTTTTATCATTTACTATTTTTTAAGTGAAAGATTTCTAGAGCAGAGGTCCCCAACCCCTGGGCTGTGGCCAGGTACCGGACCTTGAAACCAGACCTTGCAAGTGGTAGGTGAGCATGCACAGTGCACAAGGTCAACTTGTTCAAGCAGAAGGCATGTGTGCCCATTGCTTGCACAAATGCACCTGTCAGTCACATAGAACCATCCCCTCTCCACTCCCCACCAGTCCGCCAAATTGGAAAGGTTGGGACCACTAGTCTAGAGTCATTCTGGAGTTAGACAGCCTGCAAATCTAAAATAACAGCAACCACAGTTCCTTGCTAGAAGAAGCCATAGCAAGAGTAAAATCAAGGAGTCTATGTGCAGTTGCCGACTGTTTCTCCTCTTTATTCCCCAGTAGAGCAAGCACTGTACCATAAAAATGATTGTATTTGTCTCATTTGATATAGAACTTCATTGAAGTAGAAAATATTGTTTATAACTGAAAAATATCAAAATAAAAAAAAAATTTCAAAATAAGTGTTAATGTGAGAGAAAATCCACATCAGGATATATTTAAGAATTATCACTTCATGCCCTTATCTGGTTTATTGTATGGTATCATACCAGAGAAACAGGTATTAAACTTGGTTATGAACATCATGGTTACAGACATTTTAAGTTATACCCCCCATTTTTTTTTAATGTACTGTAGCAGCTGTTTCACTATACTGGCTCCTCAAGAAAAGCTAATTTTTCCTACAGTTCAAATATTTATGGCCCAATTCCTGCTAATTTAACAGCAATTTGAACAAGATTTATACACAATTTGTTTATCTTTCTTTTTCCCAGTTGTTTCCAGAAAAATGACTTCATGGCACTGATTATCACAAGCGGTTCAGTGGTTAAAGTGTTAGACTAGGACTCAAGCGATCAAGCTGTAAGTTCATCTTCAACTATGAAAATTCACTGGAAGACTTTGGGCCATCATTACAACTTATTCAGACATTTCCTTGAATGTGTGGAAGGCACAAAGTGGGACACAGACAACATTTGTGCCGTGGCCAGTCATTTTTTTTTATCTGTAGAGAAAGAAGATCTGGAGATCGGAATATACTCATATTGACTTGAAGGCAAGGACACGTGTTACATAACCCAGAACATAGCTAAAATAGAGCCCTGGATCCCATCCCATTATAGTCACACCCAGACCAACATGAATACAGGTAATCCTCAACTTACAGCAGTTCATTTAGTAACCATTCAAAGTTACAATGGCACTGAAAAATTATAGCCACTTTTTTTACCCTTAGGGCCACTGCAGCATCCCCATGGTCACATGATCAAAATTCAGCCACTTGGTGACGGACTCATATTTATGATGGTTGCAGTGTCCTGGGGTCATATGATCACTTTTTATAACCTTGACAAGCAAAGTCAATGACTTAATAACCATATTCTAACTTAACAACTGCTGTGATTCACTTAACAACTCTTTCAAGGACCATCATAAAATGGGGTAGAAGTTACTTAAATGTTTCACTTAGCAACAGAAATTGTGGTCATAAGTTGAGGATAGCTTGTCTTCATCACTTCCATCTTAATGGAAACTGAAAAGAAACATGCATTCTACTGTATCTTAAGTGTGAGCTCTTCATTAGTTAGTTTTCAACCTAACTGACTTCATAGTTAGGTTATTGTGGGGAAAATTAGGAGAAAAAAGTACTGAGTATAGAAATTTAAGAATCCAGAAAAAAAAACTAGCAAATAAATTGATCTTGCTAACCCCTTGTACTAAATAGATAAAATAAACTCTTCATGCAAAAAAAGAAAACCTGCTTCATTTATAATCATTTAAGCTACATAAGTGCCTATATGTCTGCATACTAAATGCACAGTGATTAAATATTTTATTTTATTATGTTGATACTTCTGAGCTGGAATGAGGAAAGATAAATAAACATACCTACAAACATTTCAAGATATCAAGTTCATTAGCATCTATTTACAGAAGCAAAGTGTCAGTTTTGTAATAATTTTAAAATATTATGCTTTAAAATTTATATTTAAGTTGAGGAATATTAATGCAGAGAAGCATATAATAAGTGAAGGAAAAACATTTAACTATCAGCCATTTAAAAAAGTACCAAAACTGGCATATGGAGCAGCAAAATGGTATTCATTTTTAAAATTTTATTTACTACATAAAGATCAATCAAATAAAGCATATATAAATGACTGTAGTAGCAGAGCCAAACTGATATTATTTCTCTTTCTAAAAGCTTTCTTGAATGTTCTTTTCCAAAGGTTTTTTTTTCAACAGTTAAATTATGGAGAAAGGGGAATCTTTTGCTTTAGCTATGGTTTTCTATATTTCTAATATTTTAATATATTTAGTCAGCTCAATGCTTACATATGTTAAGTCAACTAAAAACAAGAAAATACACTTTAGAAAAATCTAAATGTGAAGTAGATAAACGACGTCATTCAATGGAACAGAAATTAGGAAACAAACTCTTGCTGACTGAGCAAATTGGCCATTTGCCATCTTCCCTGTCCTTATTTTTTGAACATTAATTTGCTTGCATTTTTTTCTTCAGTCCTAATCACTTATTCATTACCACATTGTTCCTCAACATTCAACGTTTTCATTCTTGCCAACAGATTCTAGACTGTATTTCAGGATAAATAGCAACCACTAGTATGGGACCCTAGGAATCAGATTTACAGCTCATCAACATCTGAAACCCCACAGGTTGTGCCCACCAGGGCTCGCAAATGTTCCTCTATTTTACTCTCTATTCTTATTTTTTATTAACATAGACAGTCATATATATATAGACATATAGAGGTGCCTTTAGCACAATAGTTATACAAATCAACCTAGCTAGGAATTAAATTGACTATTCATTAAATAAAGAAAAGAAATAAAAATAATATAAATGGAATAAGTTAAGCAAAATGCAAACTGATAAATCAAATATGTGCTAATAATTCAAATAGCACTTGAGCGTTATGTTCTTAACCTATTCAATTCATCCTGAAGTTATAATAATATTGTAGAATATGCCATCTTTGAATATGCAGTTTTGTGGATAACATATAAGTAACATACATACACACACACACACACACACACACACACACACACACACATATATATATATATATATATATATATATATATATATATATATATACATACACATTTGTTTTTATTGTACAAAAAAGGATTTATGTGTGAAACTTTGATTCTAAAAATATTAATTTGGAACTCTGCCTGTCCTCATCTCCTTCTGACTTTGGAAGAGTTGAAAAGCTCTTGCTATTGCACAACTCAAAGGAGTGGCATAGTTACTTTAAAGAGCTGCAAATATTATAATAAATGATTATAATATAATATTTATTACATTATCAGGTGCCGCAAAGTTTCTTTTTGGAACTGCATCTGAAATGCTGCACAGCTACTAATTTTCCCAGAAAATAAGACATGGTCTTATACTTTTTTTGGCTCTAAAAGACACATTAGGGCTTTTTTTGTGGAAATACGGTATCAGGGTGATCAGCCCAATTAGGTGTGTGCACAAGAAGCAGAGAGT